AACTAGTGAGTGAGCAGAGTGGACACAGGAAGGAGGTTTCTCTTCCTCGTCCTTGCCCGGCAGCACGGGACCTCCCGTGTGTTCTTGGCCACCTCTGCTTCTCTGTGCCACCACAGCTGTACAGACCCTTAGGGGGCAGGCGTGCAGCCCACCAGGGTCCCACTACTGCCCGTAGTTCCAGGCTCAGCTGCATGGTGCAGAACCCTGGCAGGGCTGTGCCTGAGGCCTGCACCATCATCCTGACCCCTGATGGAAGGCATCAGGCCCAGCCACCCCACCCCCAACCCCAGCCATCTCGCACAGAACTCTCGTGCAAGCACATCTGGGGAGAAGTGGGGGAGGTGGTTGGGAGAGGTGGTCAGATCATTCCGCAAGGACAGGGCTCTTTCACCTGCCGGTGCCCTCAGGCTGATGTGAGGATGGGTCTTGTCATTGTCCCCATTCCCCAGGAGGAGGTTGAGGTACAGATAGGTAGAGGAGCACTCAGGTGAGTGGCAGGACAGGGGAGGAGGGGAAGGGGAGGGAAGAGGCAGTGTGAGTAAGGGGCGGGGAGGGGGAGGAGGGAGGAAGGTAGGGGTGAGGCAGGTGAGGAGAGGAGGGAAGGCTTGTAGCAGGAGAGGGCAGGGCAGGGAAGGACAGGGCAGGGAAGGGGCAGAGTCTGTGTCTGGCTTCTCAAGGACACTGGGTCTTAGCCCCAGACCTGTGACTGCCCGGCCAAGATGGTTCTGTGCCCCGAGGTGTGAGCAGTCCACCCAGGCCCCAAGTGCCCGTGACCTGGGGGCAGCAGGGGCTCAGGTAGCTACAGAGGGGGTCTCACTCTGCTCCCCGGGGCCTGCCCAGAGCCAATTCGGCCAGGCTGTAGTGGCCACAGGCGTCCCCCCAGGTGCCCCTTTGCAATGGGTTAAGGCAGTCACGACAGTCCCAGTAAGCCTGCTTCAGGGGAAATGAATGATTTTAATCCACTTTTTGTGGTGGGGCTGGGAGAAGTAGGTGACCACAGCTCATGAAAAATTAAAGGCCAAGACAGCCTTGTTAATTTCCCTGCTTTGCAGGGCACCACCCTTGAGGGGAACCAGGGCTGCTGCCCAAGGGGTTCTCCCGGTCATGTGGTAAGCGCCGTCCCTCTGGGTGGGCACTGCCCACTGAGAACACGGGGGCTGCCCAGGAAGGCATCCGCGGCTGGCTGTCACTCGCCCTGAGAGGACCAGGGGTCCAGCCTGGGGGTCATGGGAGCCTGTCCAACACCCTGGAACTTGGGCCAGGCATGCCCACTGTAGGAGCCAAGCCCTGGGCCACTCTCCTGTCTGTCCCGCATGCTGGCAGCCTTGGAGTCTCCACTTCAGTGGAGCTGAAGCCCAGCCTGGCCCTCATTCCAGCCCAGCCAGGCACAGGAGGCCCTCATCTGAGGCTGGGCCGTGGGGGCAGGGGCGTTGTCCAGAGCATGACCAGTCATAGGTCGGCAGTTCTGAACCCACATCCTGGGCAGGAGCCTCCGACTTCAGATACAGAAGGTGGGCTGTTGTTGCCAGGAAGCCCCGTGGGTTGCCAACACCTGCACGGTCGACTTTCTCTGGGTTTCTCAGCAGTGAAGGCTGTGGAGAGACTACCAGGACCTGCTGGCTTCGTGGTCTTGGCCGATGGCCATGTTTTCCAAGCTGGGCCAGGTCCATGGGGCTGAAGGGAAGGAGCAGAAGCAACCCCGGGCCCAGAACCGGGGAAAGGAGCCAAGGATGGAGCTGGGGAAGCGCAGCCAGAACTGGGCATGGGGGTGTGTGGGATGCTCAGTACTGGCATGGGGTGGTGGTCAAGGTGGAACCAGCAGCCACCAGAGGGGTAGAGGCCAGGGACCCTCAGGCCTGGAGGTGAGAGGCCAGGGATGAGCCTGTAGGCCCAGTCATGGGAGACAGACAGGTTGGAAGGGCAGGAACATCTCACGTGGTGATGTCCAGCTGTTCAGTGGGACCAGACGGGGCAGAGGGGCAGAGAGGGGGTTTGGGCTCCCTCCTACCAGGGAGGATCCTGGGAGAGCCTGGAGCTAGTGGGCTTCCAGCTGCAGGGAGGCAGGAAATGTCCCGAGAGCAGAGCCATGATCGGCGGAGGCTTACTCATGGCCTGGCCTAGGAGGGGCTGGTGTGCTCAGGAGTGAAGACTTTTGCCCCGGGGAGGCTGGAGGGTAGAGTCAGGTGGGACTTCCCCCAGCAGAGCCAGTTGGACTGTTACCCGAGCACAGGTGGCATTGAACACCTGGCTGGGCGTGGAGAGGCACCCACCCTGGTGTTCCCCAAGAAGAATGGGAGAACTAGAGCTGGTAGAGGAAGGGAAGCTGGTGCTGAGAGGCCCAGCGGGGAGGAAGAGGCTCGGGGGGCCTTGGTGTTGTGGGAGGAGGGAGCAGGGGTGGACAGAGTGGGAGGACCCTCCACTGAGGCCTTCACTGTGGAGGGCAGGAGAATGACGGGAGGTGTGTTCCTGAGCTCTATGCTTCTAGGACACGGTGGGCTCTCAGGACCCTGGCAGTGAGGGGGGCACTGCAGGAAACCCCAGACTTACCACTTCCCCCTTGCCCCTGCCTGCCTCCCTGGACCCGATCAGACCAGATCTACCTGTCCTTGACCTCGAACTTGCTGCCTGAGCCCCTCATTCAGAGGAAGACTTTGGAGGAACCCTCAAAAGAGACTCATGTCCAGTGAGGGGCCTCTCCTGACCAGGGCTCCAGGTGCCACACACAGAGGAGGGTGGGCTCAGGAACTCAGAGACAAGCCGGAGGGGGGCGGTTGGAGGAGGGACCTGGGGAAGAGGCTGGAAGGAGGGATGGGGCAGAAGAGTCTGCTGGGGAACACTGTGGTGTGCTGGGGTGCAGTGAGTTCCACTGGGGTGCACGGACCACTCCACTTGCACTGGGTCTGGCTGGATGAATGGTCTATGGGAGGCTGTCTTGCTGCCCAGGCCCCAGACAACCGGGGTACCAGTGACCTCCCTGCAGAGGACCCAGCCTGTGCCCCAGCTGTGACCGCCTCTTCCTGGGCCCTTCTTGAACTCTGTGACCAGCAGAGGCTGCTGTGGCCCCTGGGGCAGAGCAGGGCAGGTGCTGGGGCCTCCCTCCCTTCACTCTGGTCCCACGGCAGGGCCCCCACAAAGGCTGCTGCCAACACTCGGTTCACGTCACCTGGTGTGTTCTGTGCTTTGGGGACAGGGAATGTTTAATCACTTTCTTTTTTTTTTTTTTTTGAGTTGGAGTCTCACTCTGTCGCCCAGACTGGAG